CAGAAAAGTCCTGGCAGAAAAGGCCAGCAAATTAACGACAGGTCACCAAAACAGACAAAATTAGGGGTTGAAGAGGCATTAGAACTCACATAATTCCCAAACCACTAGTCAATCCTCTCATGCGCATTAGTGACGTACATAAGGACTCAAAAAAAACGAATCCATCAACTACAAACAACTAATGGCAACCTATATTAAAAGCAATCCCACCTAAGTTTGAATAGCAAACTCACCCTCTATCCGTCAAGTAAACACAATAGTCAGGCCTAGCAACATATGGCAGTCTTATCGAATCGACAGCCCGATAACTTGGCCAAAATGCACCGATGGCGAACGCACGCCGTCACCTCTCCTTCGTCGCAGTTCAATTCCGCGCGCGCGGCGAGTGGAATCGCGCGGTGCGACGCGCGGCGGCGGCCCAGAAGCGACAAACGCCGCCTCCCCATGGGAGCACATGTTCTCAATGAAAAGCCAATTTATCTATTTCACAACTCATCCTACGGATTTTCGGACCCGTTAGCCATGACCGCCCACTCCCCACCCTTCTCCCTGAACCCTTTCTCGCGACCGCGCACTTTTCACGTGGCGGAGCGGCGTGTGGCCGGCGCCTTTTTATGCTCACCGGCGGCGCGCTACTCAGCGAGCCCATAAACATCATGTATTTAAGTCTGCTATTCCCCCCTAAAAAAAAAAACCAATTTATTCTCGTTTGGTGTCTTTCTCATTTCGTAAAAGGAATATTTGTGTGGTTAAATATAACGAAAAGCCGTCCGTAATAAAAGTGACAGGACACAAAGGATACTACGTTGAAACACCTCCGCTTGTGCAGTGCAATTTTGTAAGTCTTAGAAACTACCGTAAATTTGCCCAGAGAGGTGATTCGGTGCCCTGATTACGAAAGGATTTTCATTTTAGCAGTGGCGCCATTTGGCGTCATCTTGTCACAACACCTGTTTCCATAAAATTTGGTGTAAACCCCGTATCGGGGTTAATTTGTGCCCTGATTCCGAATATGATATTCGTCCTCGGCAGTGGTTCTATTTGGCGCCTATTTTCTGCTCTCCTGCGCTCTTCAAGCCAGAAATGTGCGTTGAACAACGGTAATGCTATAAACGTCCGAAGGCGCGTATAGGCATATACATCTCATTTCAATTGGACGGGTTGACCAAATGACCTTTCGTGGTTAGAAGTTGTAGTGGGTTGCTCCCTGAATCCCGACCGCTAGGCAGGATCAATCTTTCGTGGGGTCGTGTTTGGGGTTGGCGAGGGTCAAAAGGTCATGTAGGGGATGGAGTTGTGGAAGCTGAAGGCGTTTCGGTTAAGGGAGAGGGTGGGGGAGTGGGCGGTCATGCTAACGGGTCGAAAGCTCCGTAGAAGAGTGTGAAATAGATAAATTGGCTTTTCTTGAGACATGCTTCCCATGGGAGGCGGGCGTTTGTCCTCCTGGGGCCGCCGCCGCGCCGTCGCACGCGGCGATTCCACTCGCCGCGCGCGGCGATTGATGCGACGAAGGCGATGTGACGGTTCGTTCCGCCCATCTGTGGCATTTTGCCAAGTTATCGGGCTGTCGATCGATAGACTGCCATATTTGTTAGGCTGATATTGTTTTACTGACGGATAGAGGTGAGTTTGCTCATTCAAAACTAATTGGGATTGCTTTATATAGGTTGCATTAGTTGTTTGTAGTTATGGAATCGTTTTTTTTAGTCCTATGTACTCACAATGCCAATAGAGGATTGACTAGTGGTTGGAATTATGTAGTTCTAGCCCTCTTCAACCCTATTTTGGCTGTTTGGGTGACCTGTCGTTAATTTGACTGGCCTTTTTCTGCCAGGCAACTTTTCTGAAATACGGGCGTTATACCTACACACATATGAAGTCTAATCCTTAGCGCAGTCTTTTTCACTCCTACAGTTTTGATTGCGGAATCCATTTCGTTTTCTGACATGTTTTATTTTGTTGTTTGCCGTAAGCTTTGACAAGTTCTTTTTTGACAGTGGCTCAAAAAAAAAACGGCACGGCTACGGCAAAAAAGAAACCAAACCACCAATCCAATACTTTAATTATAACAAAGATCAGCCCACTACGGCGGAACGGTTCAATTGACTGACTCCTCAAATGTGTATGCCTATTGAAAAAAGATACACCAACTAACCTCCACATCGCAGAATCGCCGCACGCGCGGCGAGCCCGATCACCGCGTGCGGCGGCAGCCTGACCCCAGGAGGACAAACGCCACACACCCGCTTCTCATCCTCACCTACTCGCTCATTTTGGAGGAGAATTTGAATTGAGCTGTGTCGATTGGTCTCAGAATCAGGTACAACCGCCGGTTGCGCAAAGTCCAACGAGGGGGTTGTATTTGACCAATGGAATGGGGTGGAAGGTACCAAGGCATGGCAAAGTGGCAGAGGACAGACTTCTCTACACATACGATTGGATGGTGCATCCCAAAGCAGGAGTTCTCAATAAAGCAGTTCCATTCTAGTAAGAATGAGCAATCAGATTATCTCAGAAGACTTTCGATGCATTCAGATTAAACAAATTAAACAATGTGGAGGAAAGTGCAGCGAACTTGGCGGATCAATTTTTCGAGTCCTAGTATAAAATTTCGCAGAACAAAAGTTCCCGTTTCGGAACTTTTCGGGATAATCAAGCATCTAGCTATAAAGCACTGGTCTCGTAGATTTCAATAATTTTACTGCTATCGTCATACCGATTTTGAAGAAAATTATGTTCGTTTGAAGGTTGAAAACTCGCAGGCGAGAGTATGGCCTGAGAAAGCGATAGAGGAGAAAAAGGAACAAGGGGCCTGGCTTTCAAACGGCTGGTTTTTCGAGAAAATTAGAAAATTTTTCTCGACAGCTTTAGTCATCTAGTTTCCAAAAAGCCTTAGAGATTTGCCAAAAATTGATATGAAGGAAGTTTGAGCGCTATGTTGGTACTCGCATATGACAGAAACAAAGGGCCGATTTCCTGAAGAATTGAGTATTTGCAATGGCTTAATCACTTTTTTGAAAGAAAACCATCTGAATTTAAACATTTTTAATCCCGTCGTATGAAAACTTTACTGAAGGATGAAATCTTTCAAATAAAGATGCCCACAGCTACTGCAAAGCTCGGTTTTTCACATTTGAGGAGTTTCAAACTCTGAAGAAAACTTAGTAGTTTTGAAAGAAGAGTTCTTTGCGATTACCTGCGTAACTGGGTTTATGCAAAATCTTGGAAGTTATTTTTATTGAGTGAACAAATTTCATGTCGCCTCGAGTTCCGTCCTCTGAGCGAGACAAAATCACGACGTATTAACTTACCGCCGCCCATCACCTCTTTGCATGTCATTAGCGGCCCATACATCGATGACGAAAATAGGTCGTATAATAAAGGGGACGGAGTTGTAAAAATTTTGAAATGTACACAACACTGTTGACTCTTTTCAGAATCAAATACCAATGCAGTCGTGATACGGGTGAGGCAAGGGGTCAGATCATATTGAGAGACATCTTGGGTAATGGTGGGTCGTACAATATTATTGAAGTTGCTGTCGCGAGACCCAAGGGTATGAGAAGACTAAACCTTAGGCAGGGAGGCGAATTCAATGGTATGTGAGAAATTTTCATTTTGCCGCAATTCCTGCTCCGCCCCCCCCCCTTCCTAGTCTTGATCGTAGGGGATTCCCGTATTCTGCTATATTGCGCCTTTTTGGAGTACCAACGCTAGGGTTGAAGCTGCTGCTGCGTTTTCGCAGAGTAATCGCAACAGGATTCCCACTATTCGCATCTTGTAGAAGTGTAGTGGTCTCGTTTTTAATATCTATCTGACCACTTCAGACGGCTGCGACAGATTTCGAAATGGTACTGCAAAGTGCCGACACCGCTCCATCAAAAAGCCGTAAACCTCGCGATCCTCATTGGAAATGGGCGGAAATGCCTTTGGTAAGCAATTAATTTTCTTGCATTCGCAACATAGCACATCGCTAATTATATGAAACGCGCAGGGGTAGGTTGTTGGCCTTGTTTATTGTGTTAAGAAAAGTGCGTAAAAGGAAGAAGGATGGTGCGTCCATTTGGTTTGGAATTGGGAACAGGAATCTGTTGCGCGTTCAACTTATGCAACCAGTTACAGTGTCATGTTTGTATCAGTATTTCCCATGTTCCCAAATATGACTGCGTTAATAGTCACTGTCGAACTTGCAAATCAACGAGAATGATTGACTTTAACACGTTGGCGACACTTTGGACGCCGTGCAGGGCCGTGCGAGGGCATGCGCTCTTTCTTTCCTATGTTTCATGCTATGGTTCACACATAACGCGTCTATGATATTTCCTTTGTTATCATGTCATTTTGATGCTACAATACCTCCCGATAACTTGAACACGGAATATTTTCTGCGTGCCGTATATGTGCCGCGCTCGCGCCCGTGGCTTAAAGTTCGGGCGTTTGAAAGTCTACTTCCACTTGCCATGGCATCTAACGCCGGCCATGTGATCCTTGTCGCGTTTGGATGGAAGCCTCAGCTCACGGTGACTTCCTAGCAAATCACTCAATTATAATCGTTCCAGCTCAACAACTACCAACCCTTTCCGCAGACCTTCCGTGCTGTGAAAGAAGCGCCTCCACCACCTCGTGAGTTGTGGATTCTGAAGTTTATCATTGAACCATTCTGAGTTTAGTTGTTACAGAAGACGACTTCAATCCCGAGAATATGTTCAAGCCTCGCAATGAGCGCGGGAAAGTTTTTGCCGGTCGACGCAAAGTTACTGCTGTCAGCTTGCCTTCCCTCTTCAATCTATGTCTTCGTGTTTTATCTAACAACATTAGGGGTAATTTCCGGAAATAGTTTTGCTTCGATTTTTTTTTCAAATTCCCTCTTCATTCAGTTCTGTACTATGCGGAATATATTAACTATGACGTACTCAAACCTATCTTGGAAAAGTGTAACGCAGAAACACTTGCACATATAGAGTCCAGACATCCTGTGAGTACTTTTTGAATACTTCTAGATCTGAAAATTGAACTCGAAACATTTCTCGATACGGTTTACTTACAAACGAAGGGGCAGGTGGTATCAGCTGTCACAGCCAGAGGTTACGATGAAGGACTCTGCCAGGCTGACAATCACTAATAAGCTACTCTTTCGACAGAAAACACTTCCAGCCCTCTCATAGCGGCTCGTCCTGTCATATACGTTGACACTCTAGCTCTCGTTCATGGGGCGTTTAAGCGCAGACTTGAGTGCAGCCCTCGTATAGCCATCCCTTGGAATTAAGGATAAGAAAAATATGTGTGTTGCTGCGGATGACCTCATCCTACTTACTTAAAGGATAAAACACTCGGCGTCTATCAAGCATACATTCTCCTTCTGGTCAGAATCGTAGTTTTAATTTATATGCAGTCTTGTCTACACAATAACTTGCGGGGATCTGCCAGGCAGGTCATTGTTTTATCCTCCCAGGTCTGGTACCGATTCACAGGGTCCTGGGAGGAATGGAAGGCTTGGTTGGTCCGTACGACGTACGACGAGGATTTGATCCCCGGCAGGGTTAAAATCGTGTCGAGGACATGGTCACCTCAATACGACCCCTCCCTCGCTTCGGGGTCTTGGCACGACCTCTCAAACTTTGATTTGATGTGAATAAGCGAGTTCCGTTAATGTACAGCATTCAATTGCAGCGCGGTTTGTCCGTGGGTCAGATTTGCCGAAACCACGCTCGACACCATCGAAATCTACACTTTCGATGAAAAGGTTCCATTCCCCCATTTCACAACCTTTGGAGCAGTGTCTGGTAGGGTTATATAGAGCTGGATTTGCTACAATCAGGCGATATTGAAATTGATTAAAGTCTTTACACTCGAGGGGATATGGTCTCCTAAATTTTGTCGGTGCAGCGTCGAGGATCTCGAATTTTTTATGCGGCTTTTTGCCACTTAAAAGGCAATAGCTCCCTAATTTTGTAGGACCTTAAGAAAGTGAAAGCAGCTTTGGGAAGCTTGAGGCTTGCGTTTTCTAACAGTATGTTTAGCTTCCTTCTATGTCCTTTAGTTGAGGAGATATTTGCGTCGAGGATCTGTTGAGGGTGATTCCCGGCAGCTCAAAAAGCCGCTCCCTTCTTCACAATTGCAAGTGTTATTCCTTGGCAACGCTCAAAATGTGTCTAGAATACATTCTTTAAACAAAAGCGATGAACATAAGCGATAATAAAAAGGGCAATCGTCACCATTCGATTTCGTCTAGGTATAGGCCATGCACTCGAAGTTGCAATATCGATTGGAAGGTGGTATGCAATCATGACCAGTGACAGAAGCTGCACTGTAGCAAACACATTTCGTAACTCCAATAACCTATACAACAATTTTATTTGCCCAGGGCGTTTCCTTCACGGATGTCGTTTTTGCGACAGCGTCCCTCACAACAGTGTCATTCTCAACGAGATATTGAATGGGAGGGAGCGGGCGGTAGATAGAGGAAATTCCTTCGCAGGGCGTGTGCACATGCGACATGTTCTGGCAAAGATGCGCTTTCATTCTTTGTAAACTTTGAAATACTTCCTATCGGAGGTAGAGAGACGGAGCGACTGAACCTGCAAAGGATATTTTTGTCATTTTTCTTATATCCTTGTTTTTTTGCTGCGCTACACCCTAACGCTCCTATTCACACCACGATGTCACTGACGTCGCTGACCCCCACAAGTACTAACCCTCCCCCCAATGACCCACCTTGACAAATACGACCTTCCTGTGGAGGATTTCCTCGACCGATATTCACCCTGATCCTCGGGCCGGCCGCGCTTCAGCGATCAGCACATATTCTGTTTTAATTTATTATCGCAAAGTTCAGAGTGTATTTGCCTTATAAAATGAGGGGATGGCCCATGTTGAAGGCATCTTCGATACCGATTTGACTTGTGTGATTCTGGTCCGACCATGGTGAGACAGATTTGGTTGGCCTTATAAGGCGCAAATCCGTGATATGCATTATGATTCTTCTTCATTAACATGTGAAAAAGTAAAACTATAAACTAAATGCTTAGGTTCTTATTTGCATTTTTCAGTACTTGGAACAAGACTCAGGTGAATTGTGGCAGCGCATTGTAACGAAGAAGTATCCAGGGGAAGAACCGGACGATGGTGATTCTTGGAAAGATTTGTATAGTTTCCTAGAAAAACAGAGAGAGAAGAAATTGAAGCAACTCAGCCAGCGTATTGGAAAGCACCATCAGGCCGATTCAGCAAATGCACCTCGTAAAGTGCGTTTGTCGATTCATTCCGAAAAATATATTTCTCACAATTCATAGTTTTGTTAGGCTATGCTAGCCGATGCAGCTGCTCCGAGCTATGTAAGACGCCGACAGATTCAAAATGGCACTGTCATTACTAAACCTCTTCCGAGTGCTATAGAAGTCTCCAGTGCTCGTAGAAAAATATTCGAAACAGGAGGTGAGTTGTGTTAATAGAAATTCTCTCCGTTCAAAAGATGAGCCGTTCTTTCAGGCTGCAAAGACGCATTGGCTGCCCTTCCGAAAGCAGTCGTGAATAAAAATTCGACAGTGGGTGCAAAGATGGACAGAGGTGCCAAAAAAGCTCCGGCAAAGAAGGGTGCGCTCATGATTAAGACAATGAAAATGCTGAATATGAAGCGCAAATGAGCAGAGAGTAGTTCATTCGGTCTCACTGAGTCCAATTCTTAATTCTAGCCGACTATTTTAGTCTTTTTTTGTTAAGTTCATTTTTCCTTTTTGCAAATCTTTCTTAAGACAGTGTAGTCTTCTGCGCTGAAGCTATGTTTCTGACGGGTTCTAGTCATAAAGCTTGCATGTAAATTCAGAAGTTTATTATAATAAGGTGTTTGAAAAAAAAGCGCTTTCTCTGTCAGTTGGCAGAGTGGTTTTCCTAGTCATTTTAGGGACGAGATATCCCATCACTTGCTCTTTCTACTTCTAGCGTTAGCACATGAAGAACCAGTTTTTGTATTGTCCCCCTGGTTTCTAGGCTTTTGTGTTCTGCAGGGTAAGGAGGTAATACTGCTGTCACAATTGAGAGTCTAGTTCTGATGTTGAAGTCGTAGCCTTACTTTGTTGGTTGTATCCAGCCACTCACTCCCTATTTGCCAGCAAGTTTTATTTGACTCTCGACTTTTCAAACTCAGTACACTGTATCTAGAATGTATTAACGAAGCTCCGCGCGTGTTTGAATTCTAGCAACCTCTTGATGTTCCACTCACATTCACTGTTTTAACAGCGTTTTGTTTTATTTTTTGTAGTATTTAGTGTATTATGTAATAATCATTTCATTTTACTCGTTTGTAAAATAGAAATATAGTTATTCAGTATTATGCTTGATTATTATGGTTTTAGAAAGTTGTTCTCTTGTGATATGAAACAGAAGGCGTGTTGACGACTCCTTCAGTTAATAGAGAGTACCCAGCACTTCTGTGATGATATCAGTCTTGAGGGTATATGCGTATTGTGAGAATTGGCTTTTAGAGACTGCTGTGTTGGCGACTATTCACGTTTATCTGTCTTTCTAGACCCTTGACACATGGCATGAATACAAATTATGTGTTATACACTATTTTTTTAGTAATAAAGAAACATTATTCAATCTATTTTGTTCTTTGAATGAAGCCGAAAAGCAAATGGTGCATGCAAGCAAAATAAATGAAGCTACTGATGTAGAGCAGTATCGTTTTGGAATGTCCTCACCGAGTTCGACTTCGCTTCGAAACAGGTCAACTGTGCGTTGCGCAGATTTTAGAATTTTAACGACCTCTTCCCTTCGGACGGTATCTCCACGTCTCCCTTTCTTATATTTTAGGTTTTAGGCTTACCACTATCCACCACCTCTCTATGTCGGTGACGGCCCCTACCCCATGATCGGTGTAGGGGCCGTCACCGACATGGAGAGGTGGTGGATAGTGGTAAGCAATAGCGCTGTGTCTCGCTCACAGGAAGTATTCTACAATTTCTTGCGCCAACCCAGGTACGATAGTAATCGTGGACATTTCTACTTTCAGAAGTACCAAGTTTTTTTTTTCGAATGCACAAATTTGCTTTTTCATGAAGTGTATGAATAAAGCTTGCATTACGTAACGATTACGTTACGATACAAACCTCTTCATTCAAAGTCATATCTTCCTTCAAGAGCGTCTCATAAGATAGGATACAAAATTCAAAACTTCAAATTGTTTTCTTTTTTAAAAGTTTTTGAACTGTTTTTTAAAGTTTCGACTTCGACTTCTAATCTTCGAAAAATTGTCCCGATGTTCCGTTTGTAGGGGGGTGAAGCGACCAATTCAGGTAATGGACTGCTGCGATCAAGAAGCAGTGATGGAATGAAGGATAGGGAGAAGATGAAGTAATCAACAATAACAGCACTATATAACCCCCCCCCCCTGTGGTTTTTAATAAACAGTTCTACACCACTGTCGTCTACACCTCGAGTGGCGATCAGGCCGTAACTCATGGATTGTAAGAAGACGGACCAAGTAGAGGAGGCCGCAGCAACCAAGCAAAGGAGACTACTACCAATCCAGAGAAGGCCGCAGTCAATCTAGCATTCAAGAGGAGCTTAAATGTCGACATCACAGGACGGTACCGCTTCTATTAAGGCGTCCGCGGTGGCGGAACCTAGTACCTTAGTAGAGGTGTACCGGGGACGCGCACCTTGCGCTTATGTGCCAGGTACACCGTGGCGCACTTGGTGGCGCCTATTCCCTCGTATTGAGCAAAGTCAGTGAAATTGAACTGAGATTGGTCTTTTTGCAGGAAACGGGAGGAAGTAACTACGAGCTGCTAGAGTTGCTGCTACAAGGCAGGGAGCCAGAACAGGTGCCGCTGAAGGAGCTGAGCGAAACGATGGCAAGCCACTTTCAACGCAACGCCCTGGACAAACTGCAGGACTATTATGCGGAGTTGCAGAAAGCTGCAGCGACATGTGAGTTTGAAAAGATAAAAGACCATCGTGACGCCATGGCCACAATGGTGTTCGTAGGAGGGTCAGCCTCTGTGGAAACCTGTAAAAGGCTTCTGAACGGGAAACCCTCACTTCAAAGGAGGAGAGGCAGCTGAGGCTTTTGAAAGGGTTGGAAAGAATGCGCTTCATCTAAAAGAGGGCCTCCAAGAGGTGGGTATTTCCCTGGTGCAGGCTAGAAAGGAGAAGCTGTCGCAGAAGCCAACACAAAATTTGCCGTCCTCGAGAGTCAGACCAATATCATGTAAAAATTGTCTAAGGAGCAGCCGCGAAATACACTGCGTCCCATAATTATACGTCCACCTAAGAATTTCGCAAAATCTCAGAGATAAAAATGTTACGAAAAAAGTCTCCTATGTGACAATGTATCGCATATATTATGCCTATGACATCAATTTTCTATTTGAGATCACAGCAATTTTTCCCAATAATTTTTGTATAAAAGGCCACTCAGCCGACGTCCCAAAATTATACGTCCACCTCACGTTTATCGATTACTTTTCACTTCTGTTCCACGAAACTTTTTCATTGTGGTAACACTTCACTTCTTAAGAGAGCAGCATAGTAAAGACTGCTGTTGGATTTTCAGAAAGGGAAAATGTCGCAAAAACTGATGAACAACAGAACCGCACCAGATTTGGTCAGATTCACGCCAAGCTTAAGAATTTTTTCAGGGGTTTCACATGATATGAAGCTCAGAAGAGCTCTAAAAGTCTCTCATTACTTTTCGATGGAAACAAAGGCGGTGTTACAGAAATAACATCCATTTTCATCCAACGGTGCTCTGTCATCGAATCTTCTTGAGAACTTTATGCCTCAACAGACTTTTGTTTCATGCATGTAAAGGAATCCCAAGATCGTTCTTGATCGGAAAATGTGAAAGACGTTCATTTATGGCAAGGAATCGTGGCGAAAACTGGGCTGATTTTTGCATGAAGGTGCAGCCCAGCCGACTGAAGTAAGGTTCGCTTCTGCCCGATATGTTTTGGCATTTGTTTGTTTCTTCTCACGTCTACCTTTCCCTTAATGGCTTTTTTCTTAGAGGAGCACTACTAAAAGAAAGAAAATGTTGAAAAGAAAGACAGACAAACACTCATGCATAGCAACGAAAAAAGGGCTGCACCTTCATGCAAAAATCAGCTCAGTTTTCGCCACGATTCCTTGCCATAAATGAACGTCTTTCACATTTTCCGATCAAGAACGATCTTGGGATTCCTTTACATGCATGAAACAAAAGTCTGTTGAGGCATAAAGTTCTCAAGAAGATTCGATGACAGAGCACCGTTGGATGAAAATGGATGTTATTTCTGTAACACCGCTTTTGTTTCCATCGAAAAGTAATGAGAGACTTTTAGAGCTCTTCTAAGCTCCATATCATGTGAACCTTTGAAAAATTCCTCAGCATGGCAGTGACAATCTGCGACCAAATCTAGGTGCGGTTCTGTTTTTTGTTCATCAGTTTTTGCCAGATCATTTCCCTTTCTGAAATCCAACAGCAGTCTTTACTTATGCTTTCTCTGTACAGAAGGTGCAAGTGTGCCCGACAAGGAACAAAAGTTTCGGGAACAAAAGTGAAAAAGGGGTGAGATCGAGAACCTGGATGAAGTGGACGTATAATTTTGGGACGTCGGCGGAGTTGCCATACGAATACACAAAATTATTGGGAAACTTCCTGTGATCTTCAAATAAGAAAATTGATGTGTCATAGGCAATAGCGTATTTATATGCGATACATTGTCACATAGGAGACTTTTTTCGTAACATCTGTATTTCTGAGATTTTGGGAAATTCTTAGGTGGACGTATAATTATGGGACGCAGTGTATGTCAAAAGGATCAAACAACCGTTCAGCCGTACTAGTACAATGCACATGTTGTGGAGGTCAGGGGCATGCCGCTTATCAGTGCTTCAAACGGCAAACATCATTTTGTACGGTTTGCTCCTGAACTGGACGCATGGCTAGAGCAGGTAGAACAAGTATGACGAACACAAAGAAAGTCTCCCGCCGGATTAACTGGTGTGCGGAGCCCAGCACCTCCGACCTTGACGAAGCAGACAGTAGTGAGAACAATATAGATAGGTTGACTCATAAAGCGTTTCAGGGTCGTAGAGCTGGATAAGTCAATGTACCAGATGGATGTAAGCAAGACGGCCCAAGATCAGTTTTTCGACGATTAAAGAAATGCGAGGATCGGGAGACCGACTGCCGTGTCGTAAGGTCAAAGTAGAACCGGCCGCCACGTTGAACATAAAAATTCAGGATACTGACGTAGCGTGTGAACTAGATACCGGAGCTTCCGTATTGATACTGGATATAGATCGGTCGAGTTCAAGGGTAAACAGGCCGAAATGAATCTCCATGTGCTAGGAGGGGCTAGTCGCACATTTTGCGGTAGAGATATGATTGAAGCGTTAGAAATTAACTGTGGGCCGCATTACCCAAGCATATATAGGGTACAAAACAGACCCCGAGAAAACGTCGAAAATAGACTTGCTAAAGTCCTAGAAGAGAACACAGCCTTATTCAAGCCTGTTCTAGGGGAGTGTACAACAACACATGCTACGTTGAAGTTTAAAGTATCAGAACCAATACCAAAGTTCTTTAGGGCTCGACCAGTACCCTTAGCTTTCCGACCTAAAGTGGAAGAAAAAATAAAAGAGCTAGTAAGTAAAGGCACGTTAACCCGGGTGGACCATTCGGAGTTGGTGGTCGTTCCTAAGCCTGGAGGTAAAATCAGGATATGCGGAGATTACAAAATAACAATCAATCCCCAATTAGATATAAACCAGTATCCATTGCCGAAACCAGATGATTTATTCCACATGTTAAATGGTGGACAAAAGTTCTCAAAAATGGTTTGTCGGAGGCGTACATGCAGGTCGAACTGGACAAGGAATCCAGGAAGTATACTACAGTAAATACCCAAAAGGGGCTGTTCGAGTATAACAGGATAGCTTTTGGAATAGCATCCGCGCCGGCGATTTTCCAAAAAATAATGGAGACAACATTGGCCGGAATCGAGGGGGTCGTGATTTAAATACGTAGATGACATCACAATGACAGGACCGGAAATAAATGTGAATTTTGGAGACGCAGATGGAGTTTTCGGGTCATCTCGTGGACGCTCACGGGATACGGCCATCGCCTCGGAAAACAGACGTAATTGTTAAAATGCCAGCACCCAAAAATATCAAGGAACTGGAATCTTTTTTAGGTATGGTTCAATATTATAGTGAATCTGTGCCTAATTTGTCAACGTTAGCAGCTCCGCTGAATGTGTTGAGGAAGAAGAAGTGCCGGTGGTGTTAGCAACAGATGCGTCCGATTATGGATTGGGAGCAGTGATATATCATAAATATAAAGATGGTTAAGAGAAAGTCATTGCATATGCTTCTCGTTCTCTGATAAAAGAGAAAAAAAAACTATGCGCAAGTAGAAAAGGAAGTGTTAGGTATTGTGTATGGCGTTGAGAAGTCCAACCAATTCTTATACGGCAGAAGATTTACTCTGTTGACAGATCACCAGCCCTTGGTGAGGATATTCAGGTCAAAAAACAGAATACACACTATAACGACTAAAAAACTGCATCGATGGGCTTTGAGATTAACGGTTTACTCATTCGATATTTAGTATCGAAAAACGTCAGAATTTGGAAATGCGGACGGGTTATCACGACTGTCCGATCCTCGTGAGTTATCAAGTGCAGAAATGGTGATCAGCGAGTTGCAAGTAAAAGCGTTGGATCGGGGAACTTTTATCGACTTGCCTCTATCAGAGGAAGAAATAGCGAAGGCAACTTCAGAGGACCCAGAGCTTGCTCAGGTCTTACGTTATGTTAAGGAGGGCTGGCCACCCAAGATAGAAGAAAGGCTCAAAGCCTTCGCAATCAAAAGTTAGCTGTATCCATTATAATGGATGCCTCATGTGGGAGAACAGGGTGATAATACACAGGAAGTTTCAAAAAACGGTGTTACGAACGCTGCATAACAGCTATTATGGCAGGTACCGTATGATAAGTTTGGCTCGACGGAAGATTTAGTATCCTGGGATAGATAGGGAATAGCTCAGGTAGCTCGGACACGTGAAACGTGTGCAGTATTTGGCAACGACCCAGCAAAAACATTGCTGCACTTGTGGGAAGAACCAGCCAAACCATGGCAAAGATTGCATTTTGATTTTTTCCAAACCCAAGGAGGAGAAAAATGGCTGGTAATGGTTGACGCCAAGTCCAAAAAAAGCTTAGAATGATTTTTGCGTACCATGGGCTACCAGAGCAAATTGTCTCTGATAATGGGCCACCCCTTTCATCGATGAAGTTCAAAGAATTTTGTAAGGGAAGGAATATTGAACTAACATCAATCGATCTACCACCCAAATTCTAACTGAGAGGCGGAAAGATTTGTCCAAACTTTTAAAAAGGGATGGTATAAAGGATTGCGTGATGGGAAGAAGCCGGGAAATATACTAGCGGGATTGCTATTCGAATATAGAATTACCCCTCATGCAATCACAGGGAAATCGCCGGCCGAAATTCTGATGGGGAGAGAGTTGAACAACATTGGATGTGTATAAGCCAAAGGGAAAAGCATTGAGTAATCGTAGCTACAGGGAGCGAATGGTGGCTTCACGTTAGAAGAGGTAGAGTAGAAAGGCGTTTCGTAGTTGGGCAACAGGTATATATCCGCAACTATTAAAAAGGAGATAAGTGGATTCCAGGAATTATTACACAGGTAGTGGGCAGGCGAGTGTACGAGATTCACTTCGGAACAGAAAGCCGGAAGGCGCACGCTGATCAATTAAAAGTGAGGATAACGCCAGAGGATGATTACGCATTGATGACTGGTAGAAGGATTCCCGCACAAGAGCAAGTCTTGCCGCTAAGGCGATCTAGTCGAACACGTAAACCCACGGTTCGGATGAGAACTTAGGTGGAAGAGAGAGAGAAACCTGACAGAACAAGAGGCAGCGTAAAGGTGGTGGACGTGACAAGCCACGTGGATGGCAGCAGTACAAAAACGGGGAAACGTGTAAATTTATTTATTCACTTATTTACACACGCCTGTTTTCATCATTTAAACGTTCATAACTCCCTTCATCATCAATTTTTGCAGATATCCAAAGCTATACAGAAACTAGAAGATTAGCGCTTTCGAAAGAATATCAATACTTTTTCAAATGACCACTTTCAAAAAATCGACTCGTTGTTCCGCTTGTATGGTTTTTGCCTTATTTGTACTAGAACTGCAAGTCGAGCAACAAAGCTGTTTATTGTGACACCGAGAAATAGTCAACGATACAATGTTTTCCACCTTAATTCGTGAACCTTGCATTCCGTTTCGTCAACGTTTCAGATATTTTGGTGAACGTTTCAGCCCATTTCGTAAAACTTGCAACCAATTTCGTCGAAGCAGCAGATATCTTCAAAAACGTTGCAGCCCATTTCGCATTGCTTCCAGCCCATTTCGTTAACGTTGCAACCAATTTCGTCATTTCGCCCCTATTCGTCACTTTTGCAGGCAATTTCGTAAACATTTCAATCGATTTCGTAATTTCGTAGTGTGCGAACTGATGTGATATTTTATGTACCGGTTGGCGTCGCACGCATTGCGCGCCAACACAGATCTGCGGCGAATTTTGGTGGTGCGACGAAAATTCTCAAATTTGGCTTGGTATACCACGTCTGAATCCTCAGCTGAATTCTATCTGCTTCACCATCAACGGCTTTCAATCTCTTTTTCTTCGTCAACCATTATCCTCTTTCTCCCCAGCATTATCGGGTAAAGAAAGGCGGGAGAACCGGCCTCCTTTTATACGCTGGAGGCAGTGCTAAAGGATTTAAGATCAAAATGGTATCGACTATCGGCGGTAAAGATGTTGTTTTTGACTGCCAGGAACGCTGTTTTTGAACGACGAGGTCTCAGATCTCATAGTTGAAGAAACCAATCGCTATGGAGTTATGCAAAGTAGAAGTTTCAAGAAAACAATGCGGCCAAGATGAAGTGAATCGGTCTGCTCGCAAATGGGCCTCGTAAAGATGCGAAGTCTACGAAATTATTGGAGTTCTCGACCTTGTCTTGGCAGTCAAGCCAGAAAATTCATGAAGGGAACCAGGTTCGAGTGCTGAAGCAGCAGATTGATAAATTCGACGGCGACCGAGTATACAAAATCAAAAGATCTGTGGAATTGTTCAAAATTGCAGCTGCGAAGTGGTATCACCCGGGAAAGAACTCCGCGTTGATGAGTCTCTTAAACCATTCCGGAAGAATTGTATTCAGGCAATACTTACCGGCAAACCGGTACAAATACGAAATAATTACTCTGCATAAACAACTCCTACTCCAGTGTTGGACCTGCTGAAAAACTGATGTTCAAGAAAATCTACCTCATCGGAATTCCGGAAGAAATCAGAGACAAGAATTAAGGAGAGTTCACTCTGTTACAAACAGAAAGGAAATGGATTTTGGTGCTCAAATAGCGAAACAAAAGGGATTTGTACATGGTCTCCACAAAACCTCTTCTTCTGCTTAGCGTTAGTCTCGCGCAGTCGCAGGGTCCGCTATCTTTGTCAGTCGTGGCCACTTCGCTCTGTCTAGGGCGTCTTCTGCTGTGGCCGTGATTTCACTTAGGTCCTTCTTGACTAGGTCCTTCCACCTCTTCTTTGGGGCACCTCGCGGTCGCTTGCCTTGCGCTTCGAAGTCCATCGCTGTTCTTATCGGATGGTCCTGTGGCCTCCTTAGCACATACCCATACCATCTTAGACGCTGTTCCCGTACCATCAACTGGACACTGGCAGTCTGCATAACCGCTCTGACGTCCTCATTTCTAACCTTGTCCAGCCGCGTCCAGCCGCAGGCCCATCTCAGCGTCCTCATTTCAGCAGAGTGAAGCTGCCTTTCGTGATACTTGTTCAGGGGCCAGCACTCGCTGCCGTAGAGCATCGCAGGTCTTACCACTGTTCGGTACACTTCCCTTTGAGCGCTCTGGACGATTCCAGTGGACTCCTCCATTTCATCCATGCCGCGTTGATCCTCCCCATTACTGCCTGGTCCACACTGCCGTCGGCCGCCAGATCACTTCCAAGGTATCGGAAGTCCTCTACTCTTTCGATGCTTTCACCATGCTCGTCCATGATCGGCTCTGCACCCTCTTCAGAACTCAGCAACTTGGTCTTCTAAACGTTCAGCCGTAGTCCGCCTTCTGCCAAGAACTTCTGCCATTGCTGCACCTTGGCCTGTAGTTCCTCCCTACTATCCGCTATCAGCGATGTCGTCTGCGTAGAGGATGGTCTTTAGCGGTCCTTCCATGATCCCCTTCACCAGGACATCTAGTGTCAGGAGGAAGAGGAACGGGCTTAGAGCTGCTCCCTCACCTTCAGCTGGACAGGGGCAGTCTGCATGACCGCTCTGACATCCTCGTTCCTGACCCTATCCAGTCGCGTCCAGCCGCAGGCCCACCTCAGCATCCTCATCTCAGCGGAGTGAAGCTGCCTTTCGTGATTCTTGTTCAGGGGCCAGCACTCGCTGCCGTAGAGCATCGCAGGCCTTACCACTGTTCGGTACACCTTCCCTTTCAGCGCTCTGGAGCACCTTCGGTCGCAGAGGATTCCAGTGGACTCCCTCCATTTCATCCATGCCGCGTTGATCCTCCCCATTACTGCCTGGTCCACACTGCCGTCGGCCGCCAGATCACTTCCAAGGTATCGGAAGTCCTCTACTCTTTCGATGCTTTCACCATGCCCGTCCATGATCGGCTCTGCACCCTCTTCAGAACTCAGCAACTTGGTCTT